CCAGTGTGGGGAGCTCGACTGGCTACCTGTCGTTCTTGCGGGCATGGGGAGTTGTTCAGAGGAGTCGAACAACACCATTGCTAGAGCGGTGCGCCAATGCTAGAACCAAGAGCGCAGATTGGTGATTTGTAGCAAGACGCGTTAAATCGGGCAGGGATGTCACCAAGGGGCAGCAATGGTGGCGGCACTGATCGATGGGAGCGATGTCCAGTAGATCCAATATTGTAGACATTTATTTATGAATTTCAGTTTCTACAAGTGCAGGAATGAATATCATTCGTTATTTCATTATTTGCAGAAAAGACAAATTGACACAAAGAAGTGAAACTGACCCCTTTTTAAAGACTCATAGTATATCCGTTTATAGTGGTTGTAAACTGCAACAGATAGCACCTGCAGGTTTATAAGGCTACATCAGTGCATCGCTCCCAACTAATTCAAAACTACAAAGCTATTGTCAGTATACGAACAAAACAATAAAAGAAGGATTTCCAAATGTATTAGAGAGATGGAAAACAACATATCACGTGAAGAAAAAAACAACACATCTTCAATTAGAGTGCTGGATATTTTTTTCTAGCATGCAGAAAGGAGTGGAACTGTACAATTGATGAACTATTTTTTCAATATAATTCAAGGGTGCAAGCAAGATCTATTTCAAATTAATAGTTATCTGGAAAACATATTCTATAAGAAACCATTTTATACCATATATTGTAGTAGGTGTTTGAAAATAGAGCCTCCACCAACAGTTGACACGCAATGGTGCAATCGAAGCTCGCAATTCTTGTCCCCTACGGTGCAAAAATTATGAATAACCTACGATGCATTGAACACAGAGAGTAGAGTCAGCTAACAGAGCACAGTTGCCCAATCAAGATAAAAATAAGTCGCATTTCAATTAAAAAATAAAGGCTCCACCATTTCCAGTATCAGCAACAGGAAAAGACTGGATTATAGGACCTTCACAAAATTCACATTTAGCTGTTCACTTCAGGTCAAAAATTTTCTTTCCAACAAGTAAAGTAGTCATGTGCCATAATCAGTATTTATTAGGAAGCTAGGGCGCTGGAAACATAGGCTATAATTAGCTGAATATTTTTAAGCATTGTGGTTAATTTATTTTGCAACCACTATGCATAAATTTAGACACTTAGGGGTAATTTTCCTGTTGTCCACCAACACCTAGGATCACATCAAGAGGAGGCTGTAATATAAGCATTAAAAAGAACCTTGCTACGAGATAATGTAGAGATTGCATCATGGCTACTAACACACATTCAATCTTTAAGCTATTACCATGACTAATGGTAACCTCATATTACTATGTACAGAGCATACACCAAATCTCTACATTTAAATAAAATATCTAAAACACCATCAGAATACTTTGATTGCATTATAAGGAAATAAGCTACATATGAAAAACAACTTTCCAGCGCAAAAGAGACAAATCACCTTTGTTTACAGAAGAGAAAAATGATCGACGTTAAAAGTAAACAAAAGGGACAAAACAATAGGTTCGTGGCAGAAAAAACTACTTAAATGGTTCCCTTCTATAGAAAAAATGCATCATCCAATCAACTAACATGCAAATGATATTAGAAAAAGGCTAATCACATATTCTACTTACTCCTGGACCAACTAAATCTAGAATCAAAGGCAAGGACACAGGTTTGTAGATTTTTAATACGCAGAACAAAACGCATGGAGGGTTGAGCTCCGGTGGGGAAATTTTGCATGCATAGAAAATAGATTTCAGTGTGTAGGATACATGAGGCTGCAAGTCGGTTTAGTAAACACAAAAAAAGCAAAACAAACCTAAGTGGAATTTCATCGAACATGTTACCTGCAGAGAAGACGCGTATCATAGAGATTGGGAAACGAAGCAACAACAAATTAATAATTGCACCATAGAGAGTTCGAGCTTGTTAGATGTCTCCATCACCTAACTCCTCATCAATCTGACACGCAGAACCCAAAGCAGCCCTCACATGAGACGTTGCAGATGTTCTTTTTCACCCAAAACCCATCTCAATGACCAACTTGAGCAACCTGACGCGTATCAAAGATCTCTCCACAACATGCATAACCACAACCACCGACGTATCTGCCCTCGCATCTATCCTTCTGGTATTCCATCTCTTTGGGGAGGGGATCGGGGTATCAGGAGAACAATATGGAAGAGGAACAGGAATCGAGAAAGTGCTGACCTTAGCAGTCAAGGTCTCAATGTAGATTGAGATCCATGGAGCGCAGAGGAGGTGGATTGGGGCCGGACAATGGACGCATCATAGTCGTCGTCCACGACGGGTGTGGACGTCAGTTGCAGCAGCAGTTCGGCGATCGAGGGCGGGGGCAGTCATGGCGCATCGAAGGTCCTCTCTGCGGCGTCTGACTTGGCGAGGTGCCGGTGCAGGCGCGGAGGATGGTGGAGAGGCGGCGGCGACCTCCACGTATCGCTGCGTCTCGCTATCCTAGAAGATGAGCAGAAGGCGGCGCGGTGCACGAGGGCCGAGGGCAGGGAGGGAGGGAGAGGCGGCGTCGGCGATGCGCGTGCGCGAGCGTGATTGGAGTGGTCTCGCAGGAGTGGATGGAGCGTGGATGGATCGCGGGATTGGGGCGAGCGGGCATCACGGTCCCACCTGCCGGCGCCTTCCATCTGTGCTCACGGGATCGCACGAGGAGAAGAGGGCGCCTTCCTTCGATGTCACCCAATGTACGACGCCTTCCTTCCTTCGGCACGGTATCGTATCGCAAGGGGCGCCTTCCTTCCACGTCGCCGCGGTATCGTATCGCACCGGAAGAGGCAGACCCAAAACAAATGTCACATCAAAAAGTATTCACGCTTTGTTTTCTTTTTAGTGGTAGGAGATGTAACTTGTAACCATTGAGCGCAGACTTCTGACGTTTCGTTTTCTGCCGCTGCGATGCTTCCTGTTCTCTCCCAATCCCATCGACGCTCTAGCCATATTCTGGCTGACGAGAGGAGACGCCGAGCCAAATTGCTCCTCACCCGACGGCTGACGCTGGTCGACGTTGCCGACTCACCGACAGACAGCCGCGGCGCCATGATGGCACGACCGGCAAGGACAGACACGGATAACATACACGATCACAGTAAGCAACACACCAACATCCATGATCGATTAGTATTTTATATTTTTTTCTTATTTGTTTTTTATGCGCTTTGCTTGTACAGTTGTTGGGTTATAAATTTCTGATTCAATGTATTTATTTGAATATGTTAAATGTTGCCTAAGAAGCATTCGTCGGGTGTTTAGAAAAGAAAAAAGAAAACAAGAAGATCAATTTGTAGAATCACAAAGGGGTGCTCTGCATAAGTTTTTTTTTTCCAGTTTCAACAAATACCCGAAGATGGCTCAATGACCCTTATCTTCTTACTTGCCCAAGGGCCCTTAAAATCATAGAGCCAGCCCTGCACAAGAGTATTTTTAAAGGAGATTTACTCTGCTTTTAATAAAGCAATCACGAGTCTTACAAACCGGGGAAACTAGCTTACGATCACAGTACCGAAACAACCCAGAAAGAAAGAGAGCAACATCCTCTAAACGGAAACAAAACAGACATTACAGAAACACCATATCAGAGCTCATGTCTGAACACTTCTCCTTGTTGACCCAATCCTCCAAGCATTGCACTATCTTCCTTGGCTTGCCCTTATCGCCCTCCTTAAGAACTTCTCCCAGCATCTGCATAAAGTTGATAGCTGCGTAAATCACCACCTTTGGGTTAGAGGGATAAATCTTTTTCAATGGCCATCTTGTTCTTGTTCTTTCAGGTCACCCACGCCAAACCTTCAAAGAAGAAGACTATCCTTTGATGGGCTTTTAGCCTCCTTGGCAACCATTTGAACAGAACTTCTTGGATAAATACTGGGAAGTGAGTCCAATCAAAAGCATCTCTAATACAACACCAAATATATTGTGCACACTCAAACAACTTGTGATTAACTATCTCAGGATTACTGCGGCTACCATGCCAACCTCTCCTTTTCAATGATGTTGTAATTTGCAATTTATCATGGAAAATTTGGCATAGGAAAATTTTTACTTTTAAAGGAACTTTGCTTTTCCAAATTAATTTGCTAAGTTGATCCCTGAACCCCCAAATTTATTATCAGGTCCATAGTCATAGCATAGTACAGAGGCTTAGTTGTAAAGACATTGGACTTATCAATAATAACACATTTCATCTCGTCATCTCAAGTCAAATCAAGTTGAATCTCTCCCATAAGCCTTTCAAATTCTCCCAATCTTCAACCAGCTCACCATGTAAACTTCTTCTGAAAGAAACACACCACTCATTTCCATCCCAAGCTTCCCGAACTATCACATTTGGATCATTACATATATCATACAAGGTGTGAAACTAAATCTTCAATGGCATACCTCCAAGCCATGAGTCATGCCAGAATCTAACATTATCCCCTCCAAACACTCTGTATCTAGCTCTGCACTGAAACATATGTTTGACCTTTATGAAGACCCTTCCAGAACTGAGAAGACCCTCTTCGATCGGAACCAAAGAATCTAGATGTAATTGTGTCTATCTTTGTATGTACCCTTTTTGGAAGAAAGTAGTAACCCATCACATACATAGGCAGGCTACTTAGACAAGAATTTGCCAAAATGAGCTTACCCCCCTGAAGTCGAATTTCAACTGAAAGAAAAACCATAGCGACAATTTTTTTTTGGGCCAGTGAGAAAAGGTATGTATGGACTATGGACCTACAGTTGACGAGGCCCGTAGGCCCAGTTGGCAAGAACGGACCTTCGTCGAGGCTGTGCGTCACTGCCTTCTTCTCACGCGCGGGAACAGCAAAGGAAGCCCCAAATTTTCCCGCGCTCGTGGTCTCCCAGCTCTCCATTCCCCAACCCCAACCTAGCATCCTTGCCTCCTGCTTCAGATAGCGTCGCCGCCGCACCGTACCCACACCTCCGGTGGCCGGTGCGCTCATCTCCCGTCGAGCGAGCGCGATGGCCTCGACCAGGGATCTAGCCATAGCTTCTCTCTCAGCTGCGGCCGGCGCCGTTGCTGCCGCAGCTGCGCTGCGCCTCCTGTCTTGCCGCAGAACATCCTCCGTCAGGCCCCAGAACCTTTCCCTCGCCGCCAACGGATCCGCCTCCGAGCGCCTGCTGGCGCAGTGGCCCTTCGATCCTGCCAAGAGGGAAGGGTTCGTCCACGCTGTCCCGCCCTCGTTAGCGATCCTTATGCCAGTTCCGCTCGTCTTGAGTCTCCTGTGCGGATTCGTGGCGCTTGTTTGTGCAGGTATATTTCCTGGGACGACTACTTCATGGCGATCGCCTTCCTTTCGGCTGAGCGGTCCAAGGATCCTAATCGGCAGGTAAACGACATCTGTACTGGATATGTATTCGCGCCAAAGCTGTTTGTGGAAATTCCTTAGTGACGCACTGATGCTGGAACATGCACAGGTCTAAATATGCAATCAAATGATCAAATTCCGTCGACTTGACATTTCAGTCACACTGTATTACTAGAGCCTGTCTTAGCACTAGTTACTAGGCTATGTTAAATACTCCATTCCAAATTATAAGTTGCTTTGACTTTTTTGATGTACATCAAAAATCTATGCACCAAAAAGTCAAAGCAATTTATAATTTGGAACGGAGGGAGTAGTATTTATACTTCATTGAACAATGCTCTATTGATCTTTTGCAACCGACGATGAATAAAATTCACCACAATTAGCAACAACAGGATCTTTTGTTTCTATTGCGAAAGACTTTACATCTGTGTATTGAACACTTCAATAAATCTTTCCAAGTCCATTTCAGCACTTCAAATTTTATAAAAGAAAAGGACCAAATCGACAGACTTCATTTCTACTTTGTGTGACAATATTAAAATAAGTCTATTACTTCTTTGTAGTCTTGATTAAAACATGTCACTTTCTGCTTGATTTGTTATAAATGGAAGAGGGAGAAGATGCTTGTTTTGGCATCCTTTGCATACTCATGAAATACATTTGTCACAGTATGTCAGATAATCTAATTTTTGTTCCTTTACCTATGTGAGTGATGAAATTATGAATTGATTGATATGCCATCCATTTCACTCAGGTTGGAGCATGTTTGGTTAGCCAAGAGGGAATAATCCTAGGTGAGGATGAAGCTGTACTGCTGCAGAATGCTTTGTATACACTGCTATGCATTCGTGTATGTATTAATTTGATCATGAGAGTGCCTGGTGTATTGGGTCTATGATCTGTGGTCTGTGCTGATAAATGCTGGAGTGTGAATGTTTATTCCCGTGGTACCTTCATGTTGGAAATTCACCACCCATACTCCATAACTTCCATCCTTTTTTTTTGTGTGAAGTCTATAACTTTTTCCTGTCTAGTTCATACTCTTGATGGTTTGGTCCCAGTTCTGCTATTCCAATCATATATCCAAGAGCAGGAATAAGGGAGCAGTAAATAATTTCTATAATAGTTGATTCCTAATTTAACATGGCATTAGTGGTATCTTTTCTGTGGTGCGTTTATAGAGCCTATCTTGGCTTATGACAATATGCAACTTGGTTCACCATAAACTTGTTCTGGTTGCTGATAGCTGTATTTTCTGTGATGGGCCTATTGTGATGAATATAGCTGTCATGTCCAACATTTAAAGATGCATATTGTATTTGCCAATGTAACTCAGCTGTTTTCTAACCAGGAATTGGCTACAATGGCTTCCCTAGAGGTTGTTCCGATGACAAGCTTCCATGGGCAAAGGTACATTTTCTTTATCTGAAGTTCTATTTTGGATCTATTAGTAGTTGGTGTCCACTCAACAACAAGAAATAGAAGGTTACTTAATAATCTAGTCAAATACCACATGCCAGTTTCAAAATACATCCACAGATCCACTTCCTCACTTTTCAAAAAAAGATTGCATCTTTCACATATGATGAGGAAAGCGATAAAAAAAAGGCGTGAGGTCAGCAGAGAGCTCCCGCCTGCAGGCGGTCCTGGGAAGGGTACTATTTACCTCGCTTGCTAATTGAGGAGACCGCGACTCGAACCCGGGACCTTCCGGTCACAGGCGGTAAGACTCTACCGCTTGCACCAGGAAAGCGATACTATTTTGCTAATTGTTTTCTATTTCAGAAATCTGCAAATGGAAATCCATTAGAAACAAAATTTCCGTAAGTAATTAATTTCTCTCGTTATTCCTGGTCTCATTGCCATTATTTTGTTTTCCCATTGATACACTCCTATGTTTTCTGGACACAGACACCATACTATTTATTAATACGTGATCTTAACTAAACTATGTTCATTGATCTTGTCCCAAACGTATGAAAACAACTTGCCATATAAAACTAATTTAAATATTTGATTGATGATGTACCAGAACTCTTATGTGTATATATACTTATAATTTCTTTCAACTGAGCAATGCACAACAAATGTCTGATGAAAACGAGCAATGAAACAACCATAGCACTGTGAGGCTGACTTCAGAATATGTGCTTTCTTGCTTCTACTCTATGAGTTCCACCCTCAGTTTCATGGCCTTAAACTTTGTGAAATTATTCTATGTTGAGTGATTATTATATTTATAGTAATCTGGCTTTGTTGCACAATCCTGAGGTACAGATTGTGGATTTTATGTTGCTTATTGATTCTCATGACAAGGGCAACAATAAATTCTCATATTGAAAGAGGAGTCCAGTAGCAGCACTTTATATGATATAAATTGTAACCAATTATATATATTTTTGCATCCTAGCAGCTACGTTGTTCATGCTGAGGTTAATGCAATTCTAAATACCAACCATGCTTCAGCGGCTGGACAGGTTTGGTCGTTTCAGTCTCCTAAACCATTATACATTTCCTTCAACTTTTATAAAAGCTTTACTGGTTTTCTGTGTTTCTTCTCTCACAGAAGTTATATGTCACCATGTTCCCATGCAATGAATGTGCCAAGATTATTATTCAGGTTTGTCTCTTTGTAGGATCATGATGTTAGTTATGGTTGCAGTTTAGGGTATTGCATTTAAATTTTCTCCCACACTGGCCAATGTTGTCACTCATTTTGTACACGACATGTATCCCCAAGTTTCTTACTATGCACTTGTAAGTATTCACCTAAGCTTGATATGCGCTCTGCCTTTTCATGCTAAACTGCAATGAACCACTGCAAGCTTCCCCTGTTAAAGCTTGCCTGTGCTCAATTTATTAAGTGAGGTTGCATACACACTGCAGTTCAGCAACAAAGATCTACTTGTTTGGCTTTGGCATTTGTATGGTAGTCCAGCGCGAATCCCCATGCAGCCATTTTCCTTTCACTGAAAGTCTAATAAAAGAACAGCCAACACAAAAATAATTTCTTCATGCAGTTCTAATAATTATTGCTTGAGTTCTAACAGCATGCTGATATTTCTTACAGTCAGGCGTATCTGAGGTCATTTATTTCGTCGAAAAAAAGATTGACAACTCAGCTCATGTTTATGTTGCCTCTCACAAGCTATTTTCAATGGCTGGTATCAAGGTCCTGAAAATCAATTTCATTTTGAGCAGCTCCCTCCATTCTAAATTATAGGTCATAGCTTTGTTCTAAATCAAACCTCTCTAACTTTGACGAAGTTTATAGAAAAATTCATCAACACCTACAGTATCAATTATCAAATTAGTTTCATTAAAATTTCCATGAAATATGTTTTGATAGTGCATTTATTTGAATTTGTAGATGTCTGTATATATATTTTTTTTCTAAAAACTTGGTCAAATTTAGAGAAGTTTAAAGAAGGACAAATCTAAAAGGAATATATCAGTGCTTCTGCTGATTCGTTCAAAAAAGTCTAAAGCGAACTATGATTTGGGTGGAGAGAAGAACACTTTGTTGGCGTGTACTATTAGAACAAACTCTAAAGCGAACTATAATTTGGAGCGGAGGGAGTAACAGTTGTTGGCGTGTACTGTTAGAAAGCCTAAAGACTTCCTTGTGCAACGTCTGCAGGTCAGGAAGCATCAGCCCCAGATGGCACAAATACCGATCAAGTTCCAGGAGCCATGAAGCTGGTACTAGTTCTAAATAAACACTTTCTTGTGAATGAATAAACAGTGCAAGATACCTGTTGGTCTTGGCACCTGTGATAAGCGACAATGGCAGTGTCGCAGCGTTCTCAGTTGGTATGCGCCTATGCGGCAGCCGATCCCTCCCTCCAGGGGGCTGTTGTAAAGTTATAGCTAGAATTCGTATTGGTAATGTAAAGGCATTTCATCTGTTATATAACTGTGGTGGTGCTCTATGGTTAGCTGATAGCCTGACACCAGATACTCCTAACATCTGTTGTATAACTGTGGTGGTGCCCAATGGTTATAGTATTAGACCCTCACATTGATTCAATTTTTTTATGGGAATATTCATCTGCATTAGACATCAGTTCTAGTCTATCGCCAGACACCAGGTTTGATACAAACTCCAGGGCATGGCTCAGCAACAAATCCAAGCCAGAGGCCAGAAAACTTGCCACATGGAAAGCTAAACTGTCTGACACACTTGCAATTTCGATTACAGATAGAGATCAAGAAACAAACTCGTTAAGTATGATATCTCTAATCTGCCGCACTAAACGACCAATGGAGCTATGATCCAAATCTGTTGATGTGAGTGCACCTGCAATGTTTGTGGTTGTGGCATCAGTCCATCTAATACTCAACTACGCCACATGTTGTAGGCTTCGCCGCTTCAGCTTACCAGAGCTTCAGCGTGCAAAATAGAAACAACCTTCTATCTGATACTCCCTGCCCCAGCTGATTGCACTTCACCATTTCTGTTTCTCGCCACAAAATCGCCACCAGTTCTTTTTTTTTTCGAGCGTGTCATTGCGACACGTGTTTCATTAAGCAGAAGTGGAATGTCAAAGGTTATAATGTTCCTGAGTAATCCTAGGATTACTTAGGAAAGGCGGAACCCTAACTAGGGCCTGTAAATACAAGAAAGTTTAATTTACATGAAACACATTTTGCGACTGATTAGCTAGCGCCGAAGGCAAAATGCCGCGCAGATGCCTAAAACCTGCCATAACCCAGAGATTTGCTTCATCGACGATTGCTCCAAGGACCTCACCCGTGCTGCAGCTGATGTTGTTGACTGTGCTTGAGTTTCTTTCTTTCCAAAGGTGCCAGCCGACTAGGAAGACAAGGGAGTCGAAACCACGTCTCAAATCCTTGCTTACTATTTTGCGCGAGCGTAGCCACCGTGACCAGAAAAAGAGTCATCTGCTGTAATCACCGCCTGATCAAGTCTGAGCACCCCCAACACCGTGTACCATACCTGCGGACTGAAGGCACAGGAGAGCAAGATGTGGTCGATCTCTTCGACACCATTTGAGCATAGGACACAGTTCGGCGTCTGCTGCAGTCACCGCCACCAGTTCTTGTCTGTTGAACGAAGGAGCTACCTATGTTTATCTCTATATGTGTCTTCTAGCGGCGGTTTTCATTTAGACTGAATGGACCGCCGGCTATCATTCTGATTCACAAGAAGCTTTTTGAGTTATACAAGCCGTTTTGGTTTTTTCTGATACATAGCTTTTATTATTACATTTAGACGTATACTATATCTAAATACATTGTAGAACTATGAATCTAAAAAAATCAATACGACTTAACATGACCACATTGACAAATAAACATGGTTTATGGTCACCTTTTATATTTAAAAATACGTCGCAAAAAATCTTTTATATTTAAAAATTCACAAAGGCAAATAAACATTGTAGACGAAGGAGTGTGATAGCCGCAATTGGTCGCATAGGATCGGATGACATGAAATGAAATGGCTTTATATTCTTTTGGAAAACGATGCCGACTCATTTCACGTCACGAAACTCCCCGACTCTCTTTTTATCACTATATTATATTATATACCCAATTCCTATTTCAATGAGACGTCATCCTTTTCAATATCCACTGAAACTTCGTGACACTCCTATGAGAACTTGCCTTATTACCAACAAAAACAAACGCGTCGTCACGGTTTTTGTTCAAAACAAGCTTTGTGCTTTGTGGTTCGGACTTCAGACGCCAAGCGGGAGGCGAAAGCTAGGCAAACGTCTCGCACAATCGCAGCAGAGCATACCGCGCGATGGCCGACCCTGCTGGCCTCCCGCCGCGGCTCCGCCCGTCCACTGCGCCGTCTCCACCCGCCATCACGCGCGCGCTGCACGCGATCAACACCTGCACCTCCGCCGCGGCCCTGGCGCCCCTCCGCGTCCACATCCTCCGTGACCCCGCGCTCCTCCGCTCCACCGCCGTCGTCTCCGCTTTCTTCCTCGCCTGCGGCCGCCTCCGTAGCCTCGACCCCGCGCTCGTTCTCTTCGCCTCCCTCCCGCGGCCCCACGTCTTCGTCTTCAACTCCCTCCTCCGCTCCCTCCCCCCAGCCCCCGCCTGCTCACCGCTCCCGCTCTTCCGCCACTTCCTCGGCCTCGGCGTCCGCCCCAACCGCTACACCTTCCCGTTGATGCTCACCTCGCTCTCCTCTCTCTGTGAACTCAGCGTCGTGCACTCCCAGGTGGTCAAGTCCGGCTTCGCGCGCGACCTCCACGTCCGCAACGCCCTCCTTGCTAGCTACGCAGCCTGTGATCCGGACCTGGGGCACGCTGAGCAGTTGTTTGATGAAATGCCACGCCCGGACGTCGTCACGTGGACAACGATGATCACCGCGTACAGGAACCACGGCCGCAGTTTCCATGCTCTGAACACCTTCCGGCGGATGTTTGCTGCGTCTGTTGCTCCCAACCGCGTCACCATGGTTTCTGCACTTGGTGCTTGTGCAGCACATGGTGCTGTGGACACTGGCATCTGGATCCATCAGTACGTTCAGAAGCAGGGATGGGAACTGGATGTCGTGTTAGGCACTGCGCTTGTTGACATGTATGGGAAGTGTGGACATGTTGTGGAAGGAGTCCGTGTATTCTCTGAAATGACTGAGAGGAATGTTTGTACTTGGAACTCGATCATTGGAGCGTTTGCTTTGGAGCAGGATGGAGAAATGGCTCTGCGTTGGTTCTACAGGATGAAGGCTGATGGTGTTTGCCCAGATGCTGTCACACTAATTTGTGTTCTTTATGCATGCACACATGCTGGATTAGTTGATATTGGGAGGAAAATATTTTACTTGATTGTTCAAGGCGAGTATGGGTTTCAACCTGGGATCAAGCACTTTGGATGCATGATTGATCTTCTTAGTCGCTCTGGACACCTGGATGATGCTTTTAGGGTTGTTGAGGCAATGCCATCACAGCCAAATGCTGTCATCTGGGGCCTGCTATTGCAAGGTTGCAAGGCCCGTGGTGATACAGACTTGAGTGAGTATGTGACAATGCGTCTGGTGGAGTTAGAGCCTAAAAACGCATCACATTATGTGACGCTTGCAAACTTGTATGCTGAGACAGGGAGGTGGCTGGAGGCTGAGGAGGTCTTGAAGGGGATGAAAGAAAAAGGATTGGCAAAGGATGCAGGCTGGAGTCTTAGGTTAGAGGACAGGTTAAGCAAATATATAAGTGATGAAAATTTGATGGAATGTGCTTTGTGAGGAACATTGGATGATCAATTAACCTGTACAGTATCAGGTAGTTAAGTATGCCTTCCTTTCACTCCGAACTAGATCACTAATGCTGCCTTGAAAACCAAATTTATAGATGGACGCTGCCTGAACTACTGCAGTGACCTTTGGAGACTGAGGTCATGTAGTGGCTGAAGAGAAGAGAGTTTGACAAAGGATGTAGGCTGGGCCTTAGGATGTTAAAGGACAGGTCACTGATCAGGGAAGCATACAAGTCATGGATAGTAGATGGAGGTTGTGACTCATTCAATCTGTCCATGTAGAAGCACACCCTTCTTGTCACTCTAGGCAGCTGCTTCAGAAATGTTTGGAAGCTAGAAACACAAGCCTTTTGACATGTAAAAGGTTAGTAAGGTGAATCAGCTTCAGTGATAGCAAATGTAATTAAGTCTTCTCATTTAGATATTGACAATTTTTGGGGGAATAGATTAGTCTTTAACTCTCATTTATGCATTTTTTTCATTATTTCCAAGTTTTATCAGCAATATGCAGATAGGAATTTGTAGTTTTGGACTAATAATATTCTGTTACGTATTTCTTACACCCTGGCAAAAGTTTGTATTCCCCCTGTTGGGTCTGCCACAACAATTCTATCCTATAACACTAACAGAGTAACAGGAAGGTTTTACAGTTCATGATATAGATGGACTAGGATAGATGGGTAGAACAAAGAACCGGCTAGCCACCCTACCTCTGCAGGCTCTTACTTCTTTTTAGGGTTCTTTGTGTGATCATATAAATGATGCACACTCCTAACCTATGATCCTAACAAAACAGTCTAACAACCAAATATCTAAGCCCAACAACTTCATCTTATCTCTAACAACCTGCTAAAAACCCAATAATTCAAATGACAATTAACTAATTATAAATGCTACCGACTGATGCTCTACTGTAGGTGGCCCCAAGGCCTATGCCCCCTGTTCCGTGGTTTCTGCTGCATTTTTGTCTCCGTTCCATTTCCATTCCATGTGGCTGCATCACAGGCTGTGACCTAGTACATCTATCTTGATTCTTGCAGAAGTTTTTTACTGGTGAGAGCATCAGAAAGCTGTTTAGGAGCCCCAGACCTAGCGCATGGCACACGAGTTTCCTTTTTTTATACTGATGAGAGTCTGAAAAGGTGATTAGTTCCCACCAGTACTCCAGAACTCCAGTAGTACCCAGATAACAATAGTACCTAAACTTCTTGACTTGTTGCGATTATTACAACGCGACAAGTGACAGGTCACTCATGTAGTTACTGTTTGGATCGTCAGAGTGGACTCGTGATCTGGATCTGCCGCTAGCTCATCTCTCTCATCTCAGCGTCCCTATCAGATCCAGATCTCGCGTTAATGCTGAGCTGAGAGAGCGGCAGAAGATCACGAGTCTGCTCCGACTATGGGAACAGTAACTACAAGAGTGACCAGTCACTTGTTCCCAACCAGTCAAGAAGTTGAGGTACTATTTTTATCTTTATCTAGCTACGGGGCAACTAGTCACCTTTTCAGACTCGTTTCCCCGACAAACAACTTTGACTAAATATATATTTAAAAATATTAATATTTATGATACATAATTAGTATCATTGATAGATATTTGAATCTAGTTTTTTAATAAATTTATTTAGAGATAGAAATGTTGCACGTATTTTCTATAAATCGAGTTAAAGTTATTGGCACGTAAATCGTGGCGACTAACATTTAGGGACGGAGGGAGTAGGTCTGGGGCTCGTAACCAACTTTCTGACGCTCTCACCATTAAAAAACTTGTGCAAGAATCAAGGTAGACGTACACACAGCCTGTGATGCAGCCACATGGAATGGAAATGGAATGGGGACAAAAATGCAGCAGAAACAACAGAACGGGGAGTTGAGACGGAACAGGGGGTACTCTACTGTGTTGGAGTACACTGTTGGTGGACCCAAGGCCCTACAGTTCATTACTCTTAAATGGGAAAAGTTTACTTGCTTTCATTATTATTTCTGAATTCTGCTTCTTCGAATGATATTTCTAGGTACCTGCTAAGCAAGTTGCGGAATTTTTGTAAACACAAACATCATTAAATTATCCCTACTATGGTCTTATATCCAATTTAGAATGAATGCAAACTTCAGTTGTTGACACTGATGCCCGATGCAAGTGGTTAGTGTTATGGGGATGTTCATGCATATTATGTTGGAGTATTGCCTAAAAAACTAACTTTATGCATCAGCAGCACAAGTCCTGCATGTCATGGCCTGTGTAAACACAAACGAATGGGACAAGCTAAGTTGGTTGGTATTGCTGTGGAACAAGAAAATATCTCACCCTCTTAGATTTCAGTTTCAGTGGTCTATAGAGATGTGCGGGCCCAGCAAGAAACTTCTTTCCTGATGGTGACTTGGTTATCGAAAGCAAATCCAAACACATGATATTATCACTAGGTGAAATTGTGCCTATTTTTTTGGAATATTTCTTTGCAAAGAAAACTTGCGTTTAGTAACCAGATCCACCATTAAGCGGACGAATGTTTTTAGGGACCCCATGTTTTTAATCATGTTTTCCCTGGAATTCCTTTCGCTTCTAGTTTTATCTCTTAGCATGACTGAACACCATGTAAAGCCTACCATTATAAAGGTGCACAAAGCTTCGAAAGGGAAGAAGCTCTCGAGGAGATACTGTAATGAAACATGGCTCCTCTGACTCCTAGACTGGTAGTGCCCATAGATGTGAAGAAGCAGCCACGGGAGCAAAAGGTTCCTCTCCATAACCGCTGGCATCCAGACATCCCTCGTGTTGCTGATGTAACTCAAGGGGAATTGTTCCGTGTTGAGATGGTACATTGGACTGGAGGGCGGGTTTCGAGATGATAACTCTGCAGATGACATCAAATTCCTGGATCTCACAAGTGTAAGTTTGTATTCTGCTGTTGCTGGAGGTGTGATTTCAGTTTTACTCTACAGCTTTCATTGTGAGCCAGACTGACTACAGATATTCTACAGACCCATTATCTCAGTGGGCCCCTAAGAATAGTTGATTCCCCCATGACAGGCGCAGGCCCAACAGTGGCTAGGGAGCCGGTCTGTTAAGGGGCTTAGAGGCCCAATTTATCGTTTATTTGGTATTTTCTTAAAGATAGATATATTTCTTTAATTATAGCATCTATAGGGAAAGATAAATACTTGTAACCGGGGATGATTGGAATTAAGCAGAAAGCAACAATTAAGTTGCTGGCTTCCCTTGGGAGCTAGCCGTCCCTCGCCTCTCTCTCTCAAGAAGCGAACAAGACCTCGTGTCTTCAGTGGCGCTCACGTGAACTCTAGGGCTGCAGCGAAGAACCACCACGGCCCCTCGCCATCGTCGAGAGTACAAACCGCGTCCTCCCTTATAACCAGCGCAGCAACGCCGGTAGGGCATCAAGTCCTATCAATCTGGTATCGAGCTCTCTGGTTCGATCATGTCCAACCCTCTCATCGAGTTCTTCCCACCGCCGCCACCAAATTCGTTTTCGCCAATGCCGGCATATTCGCGCTTCAACACACGCTCGAAGCGCTGCGCCCTATTGCTACGCCGTCATGGCCCTCACCGGGCGATTGGCGCTCGCTTCTGCCGCCATTCGTAAGCCCTCACCGGTACATGATGACTTCCTCTCGAATTAGGTAGGCTGACCATAGCATCGTGGTTTTCCTCGCCGCCACCTGCGCGCCTACCCGTCCGCCGCGCCACCTCCGCCGCGACCAGCGCCAGTCATCTCGTACCGCCGCCGAAATTATCCCTACTATGGTCTTATATCCATCGATGAATGAATGCAAACTTCAGTTGTTGACACTGATGCCCGATGCAAGTGGTTAGTGCTTCGCTGGATCGGATGTTCAACCCATATTATGTTGGAGTATTGCCTAAAAACCACTAACTTTATGCATCAGTAGCGGCAAGTCCGTCCTCTATGTCATGGCGGCCCCTCGCTTCCTGTAAACACAAACGAATGGTCCGCTCGCTACAAGCTAAGGCGCGCGCGCCTCGCGCTGGTATTGCCGTGACCCGCCCGCGCCCAAAGTTATATCTCAGTTCGCCACATCTAGATCCAGTTGATCCCCCAATTGGCTTAGCCAGAGAATTCTTTGAGGTCGTGCCGCAGCAAGAAACTTCTTCGCCTCCTATCATCTCCGGCGACTTGGTACTATCGAAAGCAAATCCAAACCATGGGAGCGCTTCATGATATTATCACTAGGCTTGAAATCCGATCCCTATTTTTTTGGGGCATTTATTTCCACCGTGCAGAGTTCGCCGATCGCTTCCAGCGGTGGCATGTCACGCCAGGGCGTTACGTAACCAGATCCCTTCCGGATTCTATCCGGTGGGTGCGTGGAGATGCGCGACCCCGGACCTCTAGACGGCCATGTACTATGCCCGGCGTTTTTAATCATGTTTTCCCGTGCAGCCAATTCCTCCTCCCTTCTAGCTTTCATAGCGCCCGCTTTATCTCCTTACATCGCATGAACGTGTCGCCAAGGACTATGCTACCTGCAGCCCTATGTCCCTATGTGTCGGTGACTCTTCTACCTGGAGTCCGGGACTACATTGAGGAGGACGCCACGCCCGCCAAAGGGACGAAGCCATACCACCAGGAGACTCTTGAATGTTCCATGAGCACTTCCCGACTTCCAACTCGAGGACTGGTTGTTGTTTGCGCAGTGGGGAGAGATGTTATGACCGACATCCCCATGCCATGGCCCAATAGTGGCTAGGGGGGCCGATTTGTTAAGGGCTTAGAGGCCTAATTTATCGCTTATTTGGTATTTTCTTAGAGATAGATATAGTTCCTGATTATAGCATCTATAGAAAATGATAAATACTTGTAATCGGGATGATTGGAATTAAGGGAAAGCAACAATTAAGTTGATGGCTTCCCTGGGAGCCAGATGCCATCCTCGCGTGAACAGTACCCCACTCTGTGAAGGCTAAGTTTGTACTCTAGGGCTGCAGCAGCAGCCGCCGCTCTCACCGCCACGGCCCCTCGCCGTCGTCGAGAGTACAGACCGCGTCCTCCCCTTTTCCACCCCTATAACCTGCGCAACAATGCCGGTAGGGCATCAAGTCCTATCAAAGGGGTTCCAGCTTCACCAGGTGATCTTCTTGCGGTAGAAATCTGCAACCTTGTCCCACTTCCTGGCGATGAGTGGGGTTATACTGCAATATTTGAAAGAGACAATGGAGGTGGATTCTTAACTGACCACTTTCCTACTGCGAGAAAGGCCATTTGGTATTTCGAAGGAATTTATGCATACTCCCCTCAGATACCAGGTAAAGTTTCTTGTTATTGCTGTGAATGAAGCATTGCAGTTTTGGATCCTTCCATAATTATGTTTTGGCATATACCAGGTGTTCGTTTTTCCAGGATTAACTCATCCTGGTATAGTGGGAACTGCACCATCAGTCGAACTTCTTAATATATGGAATGAAAGGGAGAAAAGATTGGCTGAGACAAGTCCACATACTATTAAACTGTGTGAAGTGCTACACCAGAGGCCCCTGCTAATTTACCGACCCCTGAGAACTGCTTACTTGGAAAGGCATGAGCACCACCTGCTTATAGTTTTGCTTCTAGATTTATGTTTTTCACTCTGTGAAGGTTAGAGTCACACCTGTATGATTAATCTTTTTGTGTGACCTACAAAGCAACATTAATCTGTCAAACTTAAGTATAACTTGCTACCTGTTTGGTTGAGTGCGATACTGCCATGTTCATAATTAGTGCAATATTGTGCAGATTCAGGAAGGGACTGCTGAATGGCACAAAATGGCAAATGAAGCAGCTAGAACTATTCCGGGAAGGGAGAATGTCGGTAATTGTGACATAAAAAATATAAGCAGAGGTTCCAAAGTTTATCTACCAGTATTTGTTGAAGGAGCAAATCTTAGCACTGGTGATATGCACTTCTCCCAGGGTGATGGTGAAGTTTCTTTTTGTGGAGCAATTGAAATGAGTGGATTCCTTGAGCTCAAGTAATAAACTTTGTACTTATTTACACTTCAATATTACTTTTATATTGTGATTTATAAATATGTCTGACAAACAACATGTATTCGGGCTACTGGACCTAAGGATGGACCCAATCAATCACCTGCATCAAATCAGAATTTCAGATCCAACAGTGTAGTAAACCTCACATTATTATATCACATCGATTTATATAAAGATACTAGTCCAGTTCACTAGCACCAGTCATCTTCACAGCAGCTTGCATGGTATTTCTCAGATAACTCATGAAGAATAGGAAGCAAGTTCATGGGATTTCTCAAATAGCTCATAAAGAATGGGATTTGCTATATCATTTTTTCATAGCATGCATTAGTTGATGTTCTATTCTGTCATCACAATAAGATAAACATACATTAATGGTTTCTAGTTTGTATATTGTAACGGTTAAGATACACTCACTCCATCAGTGATCAATTATTTCTGAACCACACAACTGATTCAAATCAATGTTGCTGGACATGATGACTGTCAGCTGGATAAATAAAACCTTGTCTATGAAAATTCAATTTCCCTTGTGCGCTTCTCAAAATCAGTAGTATGTTCCCTCTGGCATTGTGTATAGGTGCGAGATCATAAGAGGGGGATGAAGGAATACTTGCCCCCAGTTGGTCCGACACCATTACATGTGAACCCTATCTTTGAGATCGGTCCTGTTGAGCCACGTTTCTCGGAGTGGTTAGTGTTTGAGGGCATAAGTGTGGATGAATCTGGGAAGCAGCATTTCCTTGATGCATCTGTTGCTTACAAGCGTGCAGTCCTGAATGCCATTGAGTACCTTTCCAGATTTGGGTACTCGTAGGCAGTAGGGTAACTAATGATTATCCTCTAAGTACCATATATGTTGAATATTGCCTTAACATCGGGGGATTTTATACAGGTGTATCTCTTACTATCATGCTGTCCCTGTGAGGGTAGGATCTCTGGAATAGTAGACTCTCCTAATGCAGTGGCAACTCTTGCCATCCCTACAGCAATATTTGATCAGGTTTGCCCTCAACAGATCAACAAAATTTACTTATTCCTTTTTACTGTGGTGTATTGTATTTGTTGTTGTTCCTTCTCTACTGTTCATTATCAGACTATTAAACAATTAATTATGTTAGATCTTGAGTTCATGACTCATTCCTTTGGTCTGATGTTGGATCTAAATATCTGAAGTGAGCTGCTGATACTATGTGTTATCTGGAAAATAAAAAAGGTTGTGCCTGTGCTGTCAGTTAATTGTGAGTAGGCTCTATGAATCACATCATGTCAATGTTGATACTAATAGGATTAGCTTATGTAATACCAGAACAGCATACATCAGGGCATTTCCGCATTTGATATGAACCAATTTACTTCATGCGGTGTGAGCTGGGCTTGATCAATGGTTCAGTAAAGTAGATTTATATTAGCTACGTGTTTTGTTGAAAGTAGATTATGTGAGTAATCCTGATCGCACTTGGCCAGTGGCATGCATCACTGAGTTACTTCTTATAAAGCAGTCTGTGATAGAAGAGACTCAACAAAAAAAAAAAAACTTTCCCTGAAAGTTACTGTTAATAAGGTCAAACTAGATGAACAACTTGTAACATTCCAGAAATTTACATGAAGCAGTTCTTTTAAAAAAAAAGAATTTTACATGAAGCAGACATTATTTTCAGTAAGGACAGATCGAATTTGCTTACTACTTCGTGATTAAACTTGGCCTTCTCCTAGTTTATAGCAAACTAGTCATTGCTTCAAAAGTATTCTTTTACATGGATCCTTTTTTTTTAACTTCACTGCATAACGTTTCAATTGTTAACATAGGATATAAAGCCAAAGCACTTGAGAGGAAGACTGAGACCAAAACTGATAAGACTTCCAGATCTCCTGAGCTGCTCAAGCAATGGGCATCTTCCTGTCACCTAAGACCAAAGTGGCTCAAGGGCGCCCTAGGGGCATATCTGATCTGGAAATTGATGCCGTATCCTTCTACTTTATACACACAAATAATCAACTTGATATTTCCAACTTCCAAGGATCATCTATGTACTTGACCTGGAATCCATAATGTAGATCTTTGATTTGTCAGGCAGTCATCATGTATGAGGACAGAGACACCTGAGTGGTGCCATATTGTCTGTGTCTGTATTGCTACAAAGTTGTGCATTAATTTTACTCTCTAGAAATTTTCTTATTTGGGGTTGTGATCTTGTCGAAGTCATGCTGAGAGGAGAGTGGTACTATGGTCATACGCTCAACTCGAGAAATGACTTCACACTTTCGTTAAAAAAAAGAAATGACTTCACACACAAGTATGTAACTAGCAGTGAAGTGAGGATGGTATAATATGAAAGAACCAGGGAGCTGGCAGTGGCTGGAGCGAAGTAGCAGTGACAGATTCACTCTACCTTGCCACACAAGAAACCAACACACACTGTTAATCCAGTACTAACATATATACTTGCCGGAAGGCTTTCAAAAAAAAAAAATCCAGTACTACCATACTATACACCCTGTTCGCTTGGGCTTGTTTGGTTTATAAGCCGTACTTTTTCAGTCAATGAACAGTATTTTTCTCACACACTAAATCAGTCAATAGTACTTTCAGCAATGGCTTATCAGCCAAACAAGCCCAAGCGAACAGGGCGTATAGATAGATGCTGTTGAACTCCTGAAATGGCCTCTGGAGGCTGAAGAAGTCCTAAAGCGGGTGAAGAAATGAGTTTGACAAATGATAAACGATGCTGGTTGTAGCCTTAGATGATGTTAGAGGACACGTGACAACTCAGAGAACTATATATGAGTGGTGGATATTTGATGGAATGAGCATTGTGGAGTTGTGGTTCAGTCAATCTGTATCATTGCCCTTCCTTTCACTACCAGCTAGATCACGAATGTTTGGAAGCTGAACACACACTTTATGACATTTAAAAGGTTAATAAGATGAAGCAGCTTTGTGATAGCACAAATAGGTGTTAAAATATATTTTTTGTTGTGTAAATCAATTTAGTCTTTAACTCTTATTTTATGCAATCCTTTATTATTTATTTTCAAGTTGTACCAACTGTATGCTGAATAGAGTTTTGGATTAATAAAATTGTATTAAATGTATTTCTTACATACTAGTAAATCTTTGTATTTCCACTGTTGGCTCAAGAGTAGCAATTATATCTTGTAATAGGAAAGTTACACAGTACTTCAAATAACTCTTAAAAGGGGAATACTAATATAGCTTTCTGCAGAAGTACTTCTCAATTCTGCTTCTTGGAACAAATATAGAACTTTTAGCTACATACTAGCAAGTTGCAGATTTTCTTCAAAAGAAGCCAGCTCTAGATTGTCCCTTCTTCTATGGTGTTGTCCAGTTTAGCAGGAAGGCAAACGTTGTGTGTGACGTTTGTGTGACATCCCCTAGAGTCGAGGCCTCAGGAGGGTTGGACATTCCATTGGCATACTGCCAAAAAAAAAAAAACAATTTTGTGCAGTACCTACGTGTTGCATGTCGCAGCCTGTGGAAAACACAAATGAATAAACAAGCCAAGTTGGTTGGTACTGCTATAGAACAAGATGTCTCACCGTCTTAGCTCTGGATAGTCTACAGGGGATGGGCCAGACTAACAAAAAAAATTCCTACCTGACAGTGAGTCGGTTATCCAGAGCAACTCCAAACACAAATAGTATGTTAGTCCACTGGATCACCGACACGGGTTAGTCGATCACTCACCACCGTTGCTGACCACGCACTGTCGTTGCCGACCACACACTATGGCTAGAAATAGAAGAAGGAAGGAACAGAACACACACAGCACAAGCACCAGCGTTGGCTGGAGCTCTACAAGAGGAGATGGCAAAACTGAACTCGCTCTCTTTACTGAGTTGCAGTGGCAAACTATATATAGAACTCTACCCATCTAATCCTAATACACAGACATGTCAAGCTACCATGTTGCTACAGTGACTAGATGTGACAACATGGTTGACTTTGGCGCCTGCCCCTGTTGTGCGGCAGGTGAGCCATTCGGCGCCTGCCTCTGCAGCTGCTACAGTGCAACAGTAGGGACCCCTTTTCGGCGCCTCATGTCCCTACCGTGCGTTCACACAAGGGGAGCAGCAGATTATGTAACAATTTTTCTCATAATCCTGTCGCTAACCCTTGAACCCCGTCCATGCCGATCATATTCTTCAGCTCCATGAGCCGAAGACGTCCAAGCGGCTTGGTGAGGACGTCCGCGAGTTGCCGACCAGTTTCGACGAACTCGATGACGATCTAGCCTCCATCGACACAGTCCCTGAGGAAGTAGAACTTGACGTCGATGTGCTTGCTCCGGTCGTGGAGAACCGGATTCTTCGCGAGAGCGTTGGCGGGCTGGTTGTCCACCATCAATGCTGGTGGGTGAGCTTCCACACCGGTCAGCTCGCCCAACAGCCGGCACAGCCACATAGCTTGGCACGCCGCTGTGGCCGCCGCCACGTACTCTGCCTCGCACGTGGATAGCGCCACTACCTTCTATTTCAGCGACAACCATGAGATTGGGGCTGACCCGAGGAAAACGAGCATGCTAGAGGTGCTCCGCCGTCCGTGATGTCCCCCGCCATGTCTGCATCGCTGAACACAGTGAGCTGCAGCCTACTTCCGCCGGTCTTTGGGAAGACGATCTCCTGATCCACCGTTCCCTTGACGTAGCGCAGCAGCCGCTTCACCGCAGCCCATTGAGCCTCTTGGGGATCCTCATGAAGCGGCTGACGTAGCCCACGACGAACGCAATGTCCGGCCTCGTGTGGACTAGGTAGCGCAGACCGCCGACGATGCTCCGATAGAGTATTGCGTCTACCTTCGTCGCAGTACTGGCCTTCGTCAGCTTCAGCCGCTCCTCTATCGGAGTCATGTATGACTTGCACTCAGCCATGCCGCTCCGCTTCATGTGAGGTGGGATGAAGGAATACTTAACTCCAGTTGGTCCAACACCACTTCATGTGAGCCCTATCTTTGAGATAGGTCCTGTCGAGCCACGTTTCTCATAGTGGTTAGTGTTTGAGGGCATCAGTATAGATGAGTATGGGAAGCAGCATTTTCTTGACGCATCTGTTGCCTACAAACGTGCAGTTCTGAATGCCATCGAGTACCTTTCCAGATTTGGTTATTCTAAGGAGCAGGTAGGAAGCAGGGTATCTCAACTAACGTATCTTGAAGTATCATGCATGCTGAATAGTATATTAACTTCTGGGATTGGGGATTGTATACAGGTATATCTTTTACTATCATGCTGCCCATGTGAGGGTAGGATATCTGGAATAGTAGACTCTCCTAATGCAGTCACAACTCTCGCCATCCCTACGGCGATATTTGACCAGGTATGCTGCCAAGGGAAGAGCCCAACCTAACACAATTTTCTTTGGTATTTTTTCACTGGTATATATGCACTGTATTTGTTGTTGCTCCTTTTAAGTGTTCATCAATAAATTAGTTAAACAATTGTGATAAAGGTTGTGACTGATTCCCTTGGTCTGATGTTTGATCTAAGTATCTGATATATGCTGCTGGTACTTCACATGTTATCTGAAGAAACAGAAGTTACTGCCTGTGCTGTGAGTCATGAGTAGGCTGTACGAACCACACAATGTTGATGCTCATACGATTAACGTGAGCTGGGCAAGGTTTAGGGTTTAACAAGACTAGATTTATATGACTCCAATTTATTGAAAGTAGCTTATGTGAGTAAGCCTGGTTGTTCATTTGGTCAGTGGCATGCATGATGCACTGCTTTCTTATGATCGGTCAATAATAAAAGAGACTCAAAATATTATAGAATACACTTTTTGCCTGACAGTTAC